AAGGCACTATAAGTATGTGTATATGTACATTACAAGTATCCTCACTACACACTATACAATAATAATAAAAATAATATACAATCTGAAGGGGTTTGACCGAAAAGTGAAATTTCCGAACCGAACGAACCGAACAAACTAAATAAAAAATATTGATTTGATTTTATATAAAATTTACACATATTTATTACTTTTCAACAAATATATATAATATTGAATAAAAATATTAAATACTAACATGTTTTTATAATAATAATAATAATAATAATAATAACAACAACAATAATAATAATAATTTTATTTCAGTTATTATCACTAATTTGATTAACTGACTGAATAAATATAATAAATTCGTTGCACTTTATAAAACAATATGATGCACTTTATAAGATAATATGTTGCACTTTATAAAATAATACGTTGCTCTTTATCGCCACAATCCACAATTAGTGTCTCCTGCCAAAATCCACATAACATAAATCTAAAAAATGAATGTACGTAATACTTTAACATCAATCACATAACACAAGCACTGTAATGTACTAAAATATACATTAGTTCATTTTATACATCAACACATTGCACTTTATAAACAATACGTTGCACTTTATAATAATGCAGGTTGCACTTTACATAACAACACACTACATACATGACTATCATATTACACATGACTAAATAAACTAAATTGTGAGTGCACGTTGCACTTTATAATAAAGCAGGTTGCACTTTACATAACAACACACTACATACATGATTAATTATGTCTCTTCAACTTTAGTTTGGTTCGGTGCTAATCATAAAAAATAAATGCATTGTGAGTGCACCATTGTGTTAAACGAGTTGCACATTAATGACTATCAAATTGCACTATAGTAATTGATACTTAAATAATTACATTTTTTTATTTGAAACTTTATATTTCGAATCGATTAATTGTACTTGTTTCTAAAATAACTTTCACTTTATTTCGGTGTCGGCTTTATTATTTTATAATAACCAAAATGATCGACCTATATGAAAAACTATTATTGTTATTTTTATATATTTTTATATATGACAAGTGCACTTTAGGATTACACGAATTGCACATTAGTTATTATTAGATTGTACTTTAGTGACTATTAAATTGCACGATATCGAATATCCTAGACCAAGCTAAAATTTTCAGTTCCAGAATTTAAGTTTCGATTCAATTGTCAATTTTTCACATTTAAAAACTCGATTATGCCAATTTGATATCGGATTTTTTTTTTTACTTAGATAAACGAAGGGTTAAATAAACTATATAAAGAGTTTCACAAGATCAAAGTCAAGGGTAAGATAATAGCATATCTATTTTATTATTATATTTTTTTTATGTAAATTGTTATCAAATTTAAGCCATAAAAGTTTAAAAAAAACAAAATATTAAATGAAAATATTAAAATATTAATAAAAAAGTTTGATTAATTACAATTTCAACCATGAACTAAAGTGCAATATATAAAAATGCTGAAATTGTAACTACACCCCTACAACTTATCAAATTCACCAACACAGCCCCTACACATTACTTTGAAAATCTACTGAAATTTCAGGCCCATCTCCCGCAACCCTCGTCCCGCAGCCACCGGTTGACCTTCGCCGGTCGTCGTCAACATGACACTATCATCGACCACTTCGATATCGACAACCACGCCCGGATGGCCGAGCTCGCCGGCGACCATGACGCCTATGTCCCACGCCGCTGCAACAGGCTTCATCGGTGGCCACGACGTCGTCGTCGTGAACATCTCTTGTTCGGCGGTGGTGTATTTTATGGTGGACGGCAAGTGGCAGACGGATGGCGACGGCGGCGGTTGGCGTACGGGCGGCAGGTGGCGTACGGGCGGCGACCGGCGGTGGTGGCGGGATCAGGCGATGGCGGGGCGGCGCTGGGTGAGGTCGGAGACGACGGGCGGCGGCTGGGGCTGGAGTGCCGCCGTGTGTGGCCGTGTGTGTGTGTGTGTGTGCGCGCGTGTGTGTGTGAGAACTGTGTGCGTGCGTTAAAAAGGAATCAGATTTTGTGTGTGTGTGTGTGCGAAAGAGTGGTGGAGAAGGGTTAATTAGTGGTGGGGTCCATTTAATTATGGTGAAAATTGAAATTACAAAAGTATCCTTTGAGGTGTCCATTGACCCATGAAATATACATATATTTACAACTATGCCATAGTGTTTTGACCAGATTTATTAATGTTTGACTTAATCTTGTTCATTGATATCATTGATCTAATGGTGCATATTCATTCTTATTTCTTTCACTATCTATCATTCTCATATGATCCATTCTCTATATATATATATATAGAGAGAGAGAGAGAGAAAATTACAAATTTGGTCCTAAAACTTTTATTGTTTCCAACATTTGGTCCCTTGCAAGTCATTTATGGTTCTTTTTTATTTTTCGTTGCCAAAACGGTACCACTCTGTCAAGACTTAACGGTATTCTTCATTAAGACGTTAATCGTTATTTTTAATTTGGAGAAAATTGCAAATTTAGTCCCAAAACTTTTGTTGTTTCCCACATTTGGTCCCAAGTAGTTCAAGAAGAAAAATCGAACGGTCCAAAATTAATAATCATGCAAAATGAAACTCTCGTCTTCTTCCGTTTATCCACAAAATTAAACTCAAATTCAAAGACAAGGTTCCCACAAGATGAATCTATACAAAACTATAACCCGTACCGAGTCATTCTACACATGATTTATTCGATTCAAACTCTATTTTTTTCCAAATACACGTGCAAAAAGCATTAGATGGTCTACTCAACATATAATAACCAAATAAAAACGAAACCACATAGTCAACTCTCCATTTTTTTGTTATTTTTTTTTCTTTTTTTATCATTTTTTATATATGAGTAATTTTTTTCCAAACGAGAGTCGTTGGGACGATTATTACCTAGGTTTATCCTCGGAGTTTGTCCCCGAATCTCCTAGGCCGGTTTCCGTACTCATTGCACCAATTTATCTGGAAAGAGACTAACCGGGTCAAGCAGAGTCTAATTCTTTCAACTCTCATGAGCTTATTTTTATTCATTTTTTTTTCTGTGAGCTTCTTTTTCCAAACAAGGTTTCCGGACGATGATTATTTAGGTTTAGCCTCGAGAGGTTTCCTCGAGTTTCTTAGACCGGTTTCCTGGGCTCATTATCTCATTTCACGAAGTGAATCGAAATAAGAGGAGTCTAATACTTCCTCGCTAACTCATATTTTATTATATTCTTTTTCGAAGGGAGCGGCACACAATGATACATCACGATACAATACATTAACATCAACAATCAAACAAGACGTACCACAAGTGTATAACATAACACGATTACAACGATCGAACAAAAGGCAATAATGTTTCAAGATCAACAATCGAGAACAAACAAGGGACAAAACAATTCCGTGAATTCAAATGCGGGTTCCAATGACAACAAATCATCATTTAATTTTAAGGAAATCGTCCAATTCATCAAGTACATAAAGCATGAAAATAAACAATGATACCGAACGACAAACTCACCACTTAGCCATCTTGGCTTTAAACAAACATCAAGCTTCATGTGGGGAAATCGACACAAACACAAAAACAACAACAAAAACCGGTCCACGACACAACAAATACGAAAAATAAAGCACCTAAAACGAAAGAAATACCGCCTAAGCATGCATGATCACGAAAATCCCTCCCCCACACTTAAAACGAAGCAATTTCCTCATTGTTTGACCAAAAAGTATAGGATAGAGCTCATAATCATACAAGCTCATGCGAGAAAAAAAACGAAAAACAATAAATGAAAATAAGAAAAGAAATCAAGCACGAACACAAGCAAATAAACAAGAGAAAAAGAAAATAAGGAAAACAAAGCGCGTACACTACACGGTGGTACCACCGTGTGTCCAATGGTGTTCTTCCAATGAGAATAGAGAAAATAATCTGAAAATCCTCGAGTGCAAAATAAAGTCATCCGAACATTTGTACAATGAAAGCATATCGATCCATAAGCCAACTGGACACTATGACATTTGAAAGTATAAAAGAGGTTAAGAATCCTACCACTCGGCCTCGGTTAAGGGCCACATGTATGCGTCTCGGAGAAATGATAACGGTGAATCCACAACTCGACGAAGACACAAGTATGCTTGAATGATCGAAAACCAGTCTCCAAGTAGCCAATAATATTCCCCTCAGGCCTTGACATGACCAACTCTATCAATCGATGGCCTACTCGGTAAATAATAACCGGCACCACCTTCACAAACATTCGAAACCTCGGGTGACTCCGATAACCACTTACAACACGAAATCGGCACGTCCGGCAAAAGACGTGCCTTACGCACCCGAAAATCACCTAAAAGGACCAAATGTGGGAAACAACAAAAGTTTTGGGACCAAATTTATCTCCCAATTAAAAATAACGACTAACGTCTTAATGAAGAAGACCGTTAAGTCTTGACGGAGTGGTACCGTTTTGGCAAAGAAAAATCAAAAGAGACCATAAATGGCGTGTTTGGGACCAAATATGAGAAACAACAAAAGTTTTGGTACCAAATTTACAATTTTCTCCTCCATTTTATAACACACGCAATCAAATGCTCATTAAATTTGTACCAAATAAAAAAAAATGCTCATTAAATACGTCATTTCGAATAATTTTGCACCTGATAATCACCGGCTAATAAGGCAAGCGCGCCAGCTGCAAGGAACCGCGTATGTTTCTCAAAACGAGTTGTACATCGGAGACAAATCTATAACCTTTTATTTCAGTTTTAACTCATCGGTGTACAATACGCTAATGCGCATAGTACAAAAGTCTCCGTCGCACTAGTAATTGCCGGCTAAACATATTCGTAGTCCCCAGCCTGCTCACTAAAAACAACACAACACACACACACACACACACGCACGCACACACACACTCCGCGGTGTTTAGAGAGGCAGCCAATCAATGGCTCCGAATTCGGGTCGGATCCACAGGAATGCGGCGCCTGATCGGGTATCCGGGCACTCTTTCCGGGGAACCAAGTCCAGATTCAGATACTCCGCCGGTTTCTTTACGATCGCCGTCTCGATTTTCCTCACTGTCTCATTTTTCTTCGCCGCCGCCTCCAATCCCACCGATCTCGAATCCGTGAGTTCTTAAATTGTTGATCTTTTCCTTCTGTCCTCAAGATTCTGGTTTTAGTTAATCGGCTTGAATTTCCTTTACAAATTTGTAATGTGCTCAGACATTGTTAACTATGAAGTAGGATGATTGGCTGGACGAACAGTTAATGCTGTATTTACTTTAATTTCCCTCAATCATTCAGATCGCATTCTCTATATTCTTGAGTTTATTTACGAGAATTTGGTTTCAATCCACCTTAATTGTTACTTCTGTGAAGCTAATGCTCTAATTTTCTCCTTTTCATCATTTTTCAATTTTAGGGTTTATCGTTTGGATTTTCTGGATCCCAGCCATCATCTCCTCGTAGATCAATTTTAGCATTAAAGTCGGATCCTTTGAAACCACGTTTAGATCAGCTCCGAAAACAAGCTGACGACCACAGAAATTTGGCCTTAGCTTATGCTTCCTACGCACGTAAGCTGAAGCTCGAAAACTCAAAGCTCGTGAGGATTTTCGCCGAACTCTCTCGAAATTACACTGACCTAATCTCGAGACCTTCATACAGAGAGCTGTTCGATTCTGATGCAAACTCGATTGACGAGTCAGTGCTGAGGCAGTTTGAGGAGGAGGTCAAGGAACGTATTAAGCTCACCCGACAAGTGATTGCTGAGGCCAAAGAATCTTTCGACAACCAACTGAAAATTCACAAGCTGAAGGACACCATCTTTGCTCTTAATGAACAGCTCACTAAAGCCAAAAAGCAGGGTGCTTTTTCGAGCTTGATTGCAGCAAAGTCGATTCCCAAGAGCCTGCACTGCCTGGCTCTGAGGTTGATGGAGGAAAGAATTGCTCATCCTGAGAAGTACTCAGATGAAGGGAAACCACTTAAACCTGAGATAGAGGACCCAAAGCTCTATCATTATGCAATATTTTCTGATAATGTGATAGCGGCCTCAGTTGTGGTAAACTCTGCCGTTAAAAACACAAAGGAGCCGTGGAAACATGTTTTCCATGTTGTGACCGATAAGATGAATCTCGGGGCCATGCAGGTGATGTTTAAGATGAGGGATTACAGTGGTGCCCATATTGAGGTGAAGGCTGTGGAGGATTATAAGTTTCTCAACTCCTCATATGTTCCGGTGCTGAAACAGCTCGAGTCTGCTAAGCTGCAGCAGTTTTACTTTGAAAATAAGCTTGAGAATGCAACAAAAGATACGACAAATATGAAGTTCAGGAACCCAAAGTATCTGTCGATTTTGAACCATCTCAGGTTTTATTTACCGGAGATGTATCCTAAGCTGCACAAGATTTTGTTCTTGGACGATGATATTGTTGTTCAGAGAGACCTGACCGGGCTGTGGAAGATAGACATGGATGGAAAGGTGAATGGGGCCGTCGAGACGTGTTTTGGGTCCTTTCACCGGTATGCACAGTATATGAATTTCTCACATCCACTAATCAAAGCCAGGTTTAGTCCCAAGGCGTGTGCTTGGGCCTATGGGATGAATTTCTTCGATCTGGATGCGTGGAGGAGGGAGAAGTGCACCGAGGAGTATCACTACTGGCAGAATCTGGTGAGAATGCTTATTTCAAAGTAATTTTCTTTTCTGTTATAAAAATATTTAAACCTTATCAGTTTAAGGTACTATAAATCGTACTCCTCATACAAGTCTTGGTGAACTCAAGAACCTTGGCTTTTTTAATGTTCAAGATAATAGTGGAATAATACAGGCCATGTTTGTATCATATTTGCTTACCCTTATACCTCTCAATTAGTTCTTCCATAATAAAAAATCAGGCATAAATGAGCCAATATGCATCTCCAAATTCATTTCCTAGTGAAAAGCATTACTACTTATACTATAATAGGTAAGACCACATCATTTTCGATACTATACTAGTTCTCTTTTCCAGTAGTTGACATCCGATGGTATGTATATATGTTTTCGATCCACAAGATAGCTTGCATTATTATTTTATACGCTTATTTCTTGAGACTAATTTTGCATGTGCAATATTTTGTAGAATGAGAATCGAACACTTTGGAAACTAGGAACCCTGCCGCCAGGTCTGATCACCTACTACTCCACGACCAAACCACTAGATAAGTCTTGGCATGTTTTGGGGCTTGGATATAACCCAAGCATAAGCATGGATGAGATCAACAACGCTGCTGTCATACACTTCAACGGGAATATGAAGCCATGGCTTGATATCGCTATCTCCCAATTCCGCCCTATTTGGACCAAATATGTGGACTATGAAAACGAATACGTGCAGACCTGCAATTTTGGTCTATGAAACAAAATAAACCTCAGAATCGGAACCTGTGCTTGTGGGACTCGCCAAGGAAGTTCTTCAAGGACCGTATAGTCTTTAACACCTTTTCACACGCTGATTATGTGCTTGTACTTCGCCTAGAGACCTCCGTATTATTTGAGTGTTGGTACTTCATAATATAGTGTAGGAGTCTGAGTCGTCTTTCCTGTTGTTCATATTTATCTGCTGTTGAAGGTCACAGTGGCTGAAAGTTGTTGTAACTTATAAGCATTGGTAATTCATATGGAAAGTTTAGTTTCTTCCAGTTAAATTATTTATTAGCTTCGGGTAGTAATGCTAGGGAGCCAACTGGCCAACAACCAATGTGACAGCTCCATGTGGGGCTGTCCCACATTAGAGTCAGTGGGACAGCCCCACATGGAGCTGTATAATTGGTTGTTGGCTCTGTAACGGAGCCAACAGTTGGCTCCTTAGCATTACTGTAGCTTCGGGACAATTTTTCTTCTTCGGCATAGGGAGAGTAGTGTGGACTGTGGAGTAGTATGGAAGTTTAAGGGCATGCTTGTTTATAAATTATTTCACTCTCCCACTTCATAGTCAAAATCTAACTCAATTTTAATTTAATTTTACTATCTTTATTATTATTCATATAATTAAATAATACAAGCTGATCATTTTTACACATCACCTCAACTTTAATTCACTATTTATCCACTCACATAATTTTAACTATCTATCATTTTCAATCATTTATTTGCTACTTTTACACAAAACCAATTTTAATCATTTTATTTTAAATATTATCTTAATACATTTTTAAAATCTCACTAACAGTTAATCAAAACACATTTTTCAAAATTAACTCTAGTTAACCAAAAAAACGAGAAATTATTTAGTAAACAAGCGAGCCTTAAGTACTATTTTATTTTAGTTTTCCAGGTTGAGTACATTTCTTGAAACATTTTATTTTGATACGCTCTTAACTTTCCAATTCCAAATTGACAAGAATAGAGATGTTAAAACTCTCAGCCCAAAAAAAAAAACGTTAGAGCCTTTTATTGGTAGTGTTTAAATTAGGGCTTTTTAGGCTCGAAGCCCACTAGAGTTAGAGTGAAACTGCTAGGGCTAATCTGTTTAACTTGGGTTGGGCGGTGTACATATTTGCAGCAAGCAAGGAATATGATCTAAAATTCTTTGTATATTAAAATTTTGTTATTCTACTTCACGTGTAGTTATGAGTTCTACCGGGTTATTACGATTTTAAAAAATAATTATTAGCAATTTTGTTATCCCACTTCACACCAAAATGTATTTTTTTTTTTTCAAACCAAAATATTTAACCCAATTAGAATATTTAATAGAAAACAAATAAGACAAAGACATAACACATTGAATATAGTGATGGAATATAAAATCAACAGTATGGTACAATATCGTGAAATTCTCAAAGCGTATGAAATTCTCAAAGCGTAGAAAATAACTAATAAAATGATAATTATAAGTAATAGTTTGATCTTTTTATTATTTTGAGAAAAAAAATATGTTATTAAGAGTTTGTACTGTTTGTTCATATATAAAGTGTAATTGTATATATAGAGTAGTAAACTAGTAATACTTAATAGCTGTTGAAAACAAAACAGTTAACTAGCATTTGTAATTTTTTATATTATTATTATTATTATTATTATTATTATTATTATTATTATTATTATTATTATTATTATTATTATTATTATGGTTCGTTAGTTCGAGACCCGCTATGGTTGAGGTTAGGTCTCTTTATTGGTAGCCCGTTTAAATTTTGAATTTTTAGGCCCGGATCTTATAGCCCGAAACCTGCTAGGGCTAGCCTGTTAGACATCTCTATACAAGAGTTGATGAAACAAAATAAAAAATTATTCATATTTTCAAAAATTATGAAAGTGGTTGTTAACGAACTGAACTGTTCGCGAACAAAGCTCGCTCGTGTTCGGTAACAGCTCGTTCCTTTAGTAATCTACCAGAACTTGTAAGTTGTAACATGAAATTGTGCTCGTGTAGTTATCAAACGAACATGAACAAGTTCGCAAACTAATCGAGTGTTCGCATAATAAAAAATTAATTTATAATTTTATATATTATATATAGTATATAATAGATAATATATATATATATATATATATATATATCGATACAGGGATTGAGTCCAATACATCCGCTTATTTAAAATGAGGACGTAAGACTCAATCCTAGCCACTAAAAGGGTATCAAGATGCGTGGCCAAGATTTTACTGTTTATTTAAATAATAATTTTTTATTTTAATTATTTTAGTTATTTAAATATTATTTTGACGATTGACCGTTGGCCATTGAATTCGACGATAACCGTTGACTTCCGGCGAAAATCGTTGACTTCCGTCGTTGACCCCTAGCATGCATTATGTAATTTGTGGCAACTAATGATAAATAACTTTGCAACTATATACAACTAACATTGCAACTAAATATATATGACATTGCAACTAAATATATCTAACCTTTCAATTACTGATAACTAACCTTGCAACTAGATACAACTAATATTGCAACTATAGATAACTAACTTTGCAACTACAGACAACTAACCTTGCAACTAAAACACAAATAACCTTGCAAAAACAGATAATTAAACTTGCAACTACAGACAACTAACATTGCAACTGCAGATAACTAAACTTGCAACTACATTCAACTAAACTTGTAACTGCAAACAGTTAACCTTTCAACTAGATACAACTAACCCTGCAACTATAGACAACTAACCTTGCAACTACAGACAACTAACCTAGCATCTACAGACAACTAACTTTGCAACTACAGACAACTAACCTTGCAACTAGACATAACTAACCTTGCAACTAGACATAACTAACCTTGCAACTAGATAGAACTAAACTTGCAACTACATATAACGAACCTAGCAATTACATACAACTAAATTAGCAACTACAGACAATTAACCTAACACCAACAAACAACTAACCTTGCAACTACATAAAAAATAATATTGCAACTACATACAATTAAACTTGCAAAGTTAGTGTAAAAATGATACATAGTTAGTGATAAAGTGTTGCACATCAATGGTTAAGAGGTGTTACCATTTTAAGAGGTGTCCTCATTTTAAGAGTTGTCTTCATTTGATCCGCCCCCTATTGATATATACTAAATATTAAATAAAATAACTTGTATGGTATTCGAATAAAAGAATGTCAACAAATACGAACACGAACTTGTCTAACAGTTCGAACAGTTCACCAACAATATAAATGAACGAACACGAATGTGTCGAACCAATAAACGAATGAACACGAATGAAATTGTTGTTCGATTGCTAAACGAACGAACACAAACATGTTTGAAAATTAGTCGCACTCGAGCTCGAAAACCTTAAGCTCGATTCAATTCGATTTGAGAACAACCCTATAAGTTACATAAATACGTTTTACCAAAATAAACCAATCCATTTCACAACAGGAATTTAAGAAAAAAATATTTAGCAAGTAAGCCAAAAAATATTTCACCACCAGAAAATAAACCATTCATGACTAGAATATTTATGAAATAAAAAATCATCTAATTAAAATATGACATAAACATGAAAATAAAAAGACGTATATCATTAGGTTAAAAAATATAAATAAATCACTTAACAATTACAAAACAACTGCAAAATTTCTATTTTCCATCAACACTAGTCGTTGTGGTATTCAAGAGCTCTTAGGTCAGACAGTGCAAAAATATTGAATTCTCATCTGAGTACATTATATAGGAGAATGCTCCCTACTCACGGTGGGCACATGTTAATATGTCTACCATTTATGTGGCATGCACCCATTGGTGATGACGTGATGCTTAGAATATCTACAATGCTTTGGGTTTATTCACAAAAATATACATGCCACATAAGAAATTGACGTAGTCAAGAAAAATATGTATTCCAATGCAAGTGCAAGTGGACCGGGTCTCGCTTATGTGGCAGAAAGAAAAAAAGACTCGGTCTAGCCTTAAGTCTATTTTAAATCCAAGTAGAGACCTAGTCTCTTTGCATTGGAGTTAAATTTGTTACTTTTTTATATTTTTGTCCTTGTTATCCAAGACTTAAGTCTATTAACTTGCCACATAAGCATAATTAGACCCAAAGCATTGTAGATGCTCTAATATGTTCAAAAAATACATCACCAGTGTATGCATGTCACATAAGCGGTAGGCATATTAACATGTGTCCACCGTGGGTAGAGGAACATTACTGCATTATATATATTCCGCACAGCCCCATGTTCAGTATTTTCCCATAATACCAAAATAAACTTCAAATAGATCATTATATATATATATATTGCAGGAGAGCATCTATATATACTAGTACGTAATCTCGTGCGATGCACCAACTGTATTTATTTTTGTAAAATTTATAATTGAAGGTTATTATAAACGCAGAGCATTTATTAGGAAACCGTAAAATATTCATCATGAAAAAGTCATACATTACGAAAAACCTCTTTGTTTTGCCATACACAATTATTTTGCACTTGACAACCTGTAGATCAATATTTTCCAAGATTTCTTTTCACTTGGTAATTGCGAATTGCATAGACACCTCATTCCTTCAATTTTTTGTTGATTTTTGGAGTGTTACTATCACGAAATAAAACTATAGTGAAAATATGTAATATTGTGATAAATACTAAATATATGATTTATTGGGTGAAGTTTAATTTTATATAGAATATAAGAAAATTTGTTACCTTAAAGTGTGGATTTGGAGTATATCTTATTTTTTTTAACATTCTAATGGTTCATGTCAAATTCATTCCAATATTGAAAACAATTTTGTTTTATTATGTTTTAACAGAGATTTGGATTTTTGATTGTATCTTTTGTAAAACAATATTTACAAAAATAATTACGTTAAAATAAACAACAATGATATTTTATCATTTGTAGTTCAAAACTAACTAAATGAATTGGACGATTTGCAAATCACAATTTTTAAATGAAAA